ACAACGCATCTCAAACGAGCAACAAGGATTCGCGTCCTTCATAACCATTTAAGGCCAAATCTCTATGAACAGAACAGAGAACAGTGTGGTCAGGTCAATTCAATATCTTCTCACTTTTTAACGTGGATGGTCTTTCAGATTTCTTCTGATAAGGTTTGTCGTCCAAACAAACATGTCGAATATTTTTTGGATTATTAGAACTGAAGTTCTTCGTAAATAATCTACATCAAAATTTAACCAGCGTTTGGTATTCTTTTTCTTTTTTCCGATCAAGTTGATGTTGGGCATCCTATTTAAGTAAGGAAGTCAAAATATTTAAGTAGGGACTCAAAAACTTTAAAAACAAGGAATTCTAATTAAAATTTATGTTTTAAAACTCAAAAACTTGTTTGATAAAAAGGAAAAACTTTCTTTCTAATGTTTTTTTAGTTATTTTTTATGAATAAATCATGAACAAATTTTGACCACGTGGGACCAAAGAGTCCAGGTGACTATTTCATGTGGTCTCCAAAAGACTCTATAAAATCCCACCCGACTTCTCATTACTTCATAGTCCAACCCAAAATTGGAAACCAACCACACTATATTCCCTCCTCCCAAAGATATATCACTGCCCTTTCTCCATGGAAACTCCGATTGATCACAGCTTGTGGGTTTTGGCCCTCTTCTCCAAATGCCAAGTCTTGTCTTCCACGGCCACTCTCTTCGTCTTTCTCATCCTGGCCGCAGTTTCGCTAGCTGCGGCTGTCTTCTTCTGGGTCTCAACTCCCGGAGGCCCGGCATGGGGAAGGCACCATTGGAAAACAGGAAACACTCTTCGTAAACTTGTTCAAAACCATAAAAATCAACTCTCCACCACCACCCCAATTCCTGGGCCACGTGGATTTCCAATCATAGGCAGCATGAACCTCATGACCAACCTAGCACACCACAAGCTCACCAAAGCAGCTGAGCTCTTCCAAGCAAAGAGGCTCATGGCTTTCAGCTTGGGTGAGACACGTTTCGTCGTCACATGCAACCATAACGTCGCCAAGGAGATCCTCAACAGTCCCATTTTCGCCGCCCGTCCGGTGAAAGAGTCGGCTTATGGGCTCATGTTCAACAGGGCAATTGGGTTCGCTCCATATGGAAATTACTGGCGTGCCCTCAGACGCATCGGCGCCGCCCACCTCTTCTCCCCGAAGCAAATCTCCGCCTCCGAGCATCAACGGTTCCAAATCGTCGAACAAATGGTCTCCATGATTTCGGCACGTGCTGAGAACAGCTTCTGCATTCGCGACATTCTCCGGCGAGCTTCGCTGAACAACATGATGTGCTCGGTTTTCGGACGTAAATATGAGCTGGGCTCGTCGAACGAAGAGACGGAGGTCCTGAGCCGGCTCGTGGACGAAGGCTATGACCTGTTGGGGAAGCTCAACTGGTCTGATCACCTTCCGTGGCTCGCCGGTCTGGACCTTCAGAGCGTCCGGTCTAGATGCTCCAAGCTCGTTCCTGAAGTCAACCGATTCGTCAGCCGAATCATTCAAGAACACAGAGCTCATACCAGCCGGAAGAACCATGACTTTGTGGATGTTCTTCTCTCTCTTGATGGACCTGATAAGTTGTTGGAGAGTGACATGATCTCAGTTCTTTGGGTAAGAATCTCTAAATCCAGAACTATGCAAGAAGTTTGAATACAAGTGATAGGTTAAATTACTTTAAAATTAATTTAAGAAAAGAATATTCGAGTAACGTGACAAAATCACTGTTCTAACTAACTCGCTTAACCGGGTTGCTTTCAATTTCTTTTTATTTGCAACTTTCTGTATAAGTCATTTAGTGGGTCTTTCTCAACTTTATTAATGTTTAATAACTATTGTTTTTTTATGGAATATATTTGTTCCATGTGTCATACTACACTACAGGAGATGATATTCAGAGGAGCAGACACTGTGGCGGTTTTGATCGAGTGGATTTTGGCAAGGATGGTGCACCACCACGATGTCCAATCAAAGGTGCACGAGGAGCTCGATCGGGTCGTCGGATCACGGCCGTTGGTTGAGTCAGACATTCAATCAATGGTTTATTTGCCAGCAGTGGTCAAAGAAGTCCTGAGGCTACACCCACCGGGCCCACTCCTATCCTGGGCCCGCTTGTCTATCAGAGACACCGTCGTGGATGGCTATCCCGTGCCTGCGGGGACCACAGCTATGGTGAACATGTGGGCCATCACCAGGGACCCAGAAGTGTGGGAGGACCCATTGGAGTTCAAGCCAGAGAGGTTTGTTTCGTCCAAGGATGCTGACATGCAGTTTTCTGTGTTGGGGTCTGATTTGAGGCTGGCGCCGTTTGGTTCGGGCACGAGGAGCTGCCCGGGGAAGGCATTGGGGTTGACCACGGTCAGCTTTTGGGTGGGGTCCTTGCTGCATGATTTTAAGTGGGCAAAGTCGGATCCTAATGACTCGGTGGACCTATCCGAAGTGCTCAGGCTTTCTTGCGAAATGAAACACCCACTCACTGTAAAAGTCAACCATAGGAATTGACCGAAAGTGCATGGCAGGCAACATATATTGCTCTCCTTAGCCTATAAGAAAATAGTAGTATAAGAATCTATGTTTAGAAGTTGTATAAACAAAGAAAACCCTAAAGGTTTTCAACTAGTTTATCTGCAACTCATGTATCGTACTTTTAGTTGTGACCATGAAAGAATGTACTAGGTTGTATGAGAATAAAACTTAATATTCAGTGCTTCTATTTGAACCAATATTGGATATGCTGGTGCTAGCCTTTTGTGAATTTATGCCTTTGTTTTTTTTGTCTGACGGAATAGGAAAACACATGACACTGAATGAAAGCACGTGGGCACATTGACCCAGTTGCATATTCAGTGAGAAATTGATATTTGATCTAAAGTAGAGGAAGCAAAACAATAAATAAACCGTTTCGGGATCCTTTTTTCTAAACAAATCTAATTCACGCAGTTCGGTTAGAGATGTGATTAGTTATGTGGTCATCTAAAATATGCTATCAGAATGAATTAAATGCGAAAGCCACAGCCACTAGTCATAAGCAACAAGTTGATAGAGAGCCTGGATTGAACGACACAAATGAAAGTTGATGGCGAACGATGAGAGAAGTGCCTTGGCCATTACGGCTAAAGACTACATGGGGGTTGAGGCTGTCGTTTGCATGTTTTAGTAATTAAAGTGGTATTTGGTCAAGTCCAAATCAAATCTATTGTGATGCCCACTAGTTATTGGTAAAGGGAACGTAGGGTCGTTTTTCTCAATTAATATCTGGGGTTCAGTTTGATGTTTGTCGTTTGGCGGTAGATGGGGAAATATAATTGTCGTGTAGGCACCAGCCAATCGAAGTTGATTGTTGAACCTTGAGCATATCGTCTTTTGCAAACAAGTTTTTGATGACAAGATTTAGTAAGATTTGAGATTGTTCATCTTTTGGATCTTGCAAATGAAATATGCCCTTTGTCTGCAATCAGACCCTACCACATATATGTATATGACATATAATTGAGGTGTGGAATCCCTGTTCTTCGATAAAAAGCTTCTTGTGTTTATTTATAGGGGATTGGCACGTACCTTTTTTTTTTTTTTTGTGGTTCGAAAAGATTGGTACGTACTTGGTTGTGCAACCCACATGTAAATATCTCAATCCCAAAGCCTTTCACATTCCAAGCCTTAGGTCATCTATGATGCATTCTTAAAAATCATACTCCACTGAAAATTTATGGTATGCTTACTTATTTGGACTAGTTGGGAGAAGTCGTGAATAAGTTCCGGGAGATACAAACTGAGTATGGGATCAACTACTCTTTCTTATCGATCTAATTGATGATTGGCTTTGTATTAGATTACGAATAAACTCATAGGAAGTCAAGAATTATTATAATTCTCATATTCATATATTAGTTAACACATGAAAACTTTGGAATGCAAATAATTTCAATACCCATTTTGGGAGTACAATCGATAGTCTAAACTACAAGGGAGAAAGGTTTCTCACACACGCACACAACTAAAATGTCATGTGAGTTCAAACCTGAGACCTCTGGTCTGCAAGTCAATACTCTTTTCCACTAGTTTAGATCCCGTTGGCTCAATACTCATTTTATGTAAAGTAAACACGTCATTCATAACTCTTACACCCAACTCATACCCTATGGGTCTTACCCGTAACCACTTTGGACCCAAAAATTCAAACTTGAATCTATGATTTTAAGTCTCTAATTTAAGATGGCATAAGAGGACTAAATTGACCTCAGCCCAGCCTAAATTTGTGCACTGAACACCTAAAACAGAGGGGGTTCTTTCGGAGAAATACTTTCCTATCTCCGTTTTATTGTCTCCCATTCTCTATCTATCTCTTCTTTTGATAGATGATATGGGAAGAGAGATAGAGAAAATGGGGCAATGAAAATGAGATATGGAAAATTTTCTCTTTCCTTAACACCATGTTTTCCATTTTCCTTGTCTTAAGAAGCATTTGGGGTAACAACCAAAAGAACTACAAGCAGGTCCCCCCAATAATGTCTTCAACTAACAGATGGCCAAATCAAAGAGGGAAGCAAAATTGGAGCAATCAAAGGCAAAATATGGCCCATTTGGCCAGAAGCACCATGTGATGATGCAATACCCACACCACATGTTCTATTAGGCATAGCCACATGTTCTTGTAAACTAGTAATGTTACATCAAAGTGTGACAATGTATAGTATTTATGGGTTAAGCCAATTGCCAAGGTAATATGCCCGTCGTATATTAAAATAGTTATCTCTTTTGTCAAAAAAGGTAACAGTTTTAAAAATAATTTGGTGGTGCAGAAAATTGGTCGAGAAAAGCGTTCAGACAAAAACCATAGAAACAATAGAGCTACCCAAAGCAAAGGGGACAACTATTTTTACAAGAGCAAGACACCAAGCACATCTCTGCCCTAAGACACCTACTTATTCATAGAACCAAGGGAAAAAAAAAAAAAAAACTTGACAAAATACACATTTTTCTTCACTTCTTATTCAACAACCCAGAATCCTGCATTCTAGAGATTGCCTTCTCAAACTGGCTCCACCTCTGCTCCAATGTCCCAATGTACCCAATTGACATCCTCACCAACCCAGGAGAGATCCCAGCCAGAGACTTCTCCTCAGCATTCATCTCACTACTAGTGCTGCTTCCAGAGCAGGACATTAGGGTTTCATAATAGCCCAGGCTCACAGCCATGAACCCAAACTGGGTGCAGTATTGCAGCAGGTTCATGAGCCTGTTGGCCTTCTCCTCCGTGCCCATGTCCAGGCACAGGAGCCCACCAAACCCATAGTCTTTGTTTGCCATGGACTTGAGCAGCTCATGCTGTGGGTGGTCTTCAAGCCCTGGGTAAATTACTTTCAGGCCCATCTTCTTCATCCTCGTTGCATACACCATGGCCCTGTTGCAGTGCTCCTTCATCCTAAGGCCCAGATGGGGGATTCTCTCAGCCAGATCAAATGCCACCTTGGCATTCATTGTAGGCTTGAAATATATCATGTTAGGCCTCATTTACAGCACTGCATTGGGCTTGAAATATACTTTAAATATGAAATCTAAAGTTGAAATCCTAAATATGAAATCGACTGTTGAAATCCTAAATATGAAAATTATTCTAAATAAATAAATAACTAGGTATGTTTTACCTATAATTTTGGGGGTAGAGAGGTGGGGGTCTAAACCAATGAAAACTCAGAGGTTAGTGGCTCCTATTTTTGGGGGAGTTGATTTTTCAGTTTCTTTGGCTTATAAAGAGGACAGCAGTAAAGAAATGGAAAAAGAAAGAAAAAAAGGGAAGCAAACGGCAGAAGAAGATTCATGTGTGTGGGGGCCTCTTACAAATTATAAAGAATAAAAAATTCAAACTCACAATACATATGAAAAATAGTGTATATATATCACATATGTCAAGAATTATATTGCTTATTGGTTGCAATCATAATTGTCCTCAACAAAGGGATAGACAAATACATTCTAAGCGACAAAAACTGCAAGAGATAGACAAAGAGAAGCGATTTAGCAAATATCTTTAAAGCTTTTCCCCTCATTAAACCCAATAGAAAGAAAAAAAAAATTCAAAATCACAAATTAAACCAAAAAAAAAAAAACCTTAGGTCCCTTCATGCATTTATATCATACATGAAAAAAATATTGACTAAGTATGAAAAATGGTTTTTCGGAACAATCATTTTCTCAAGATAATTTTTGGCAGCTTTTATTCCTTACACATCAAATAAGAAAACTTGATTTTATGGGATTTTGATATGGAGTGTATATTGACTTAATGAGCCATCATTTTTAGCCTAAATCGTATTTTACACTAAAACCGATTTTTCATATTTTGATTTTGTGGGAATTTGATTTTCTAGTATTTTTATTTGAATCCAAATAGGGGGTACTTTCTTATTTACATTGTAAACTTAAGTAAATGGAGTAATATAAAAATAAATTAAAGTAAGAGGACAAAGACATTTACTTAAATGTTGAAAATGGAAATAAGGTAATCTGTACACCTGGAGTGCACCACCACCAGCTGAGTAAGGGGCAATTTAAAGTACCTCATTATACCTTAACAGGTCCACCACAACACATATGGGTACATATCTAAATGTAAAGTATTTGAAATAATATACATATAGAAATACATAACAGTATATTACTTTTAAAATATAAAAAAAAAACACTTGAGTGGGGGCTCGGGACCACACTGGTCCCAATTTGGCTCCGCCCTTGTTCACCCATCAACTTGGGCTACATCCACTAGTTTTTGTATTTGTATATATCTGTAGAGAGTTGCATTACATTGAGGTAGGCTTGAGAGCCTTAGTAAATAAGGAGGAGGGAGCTTTAGAGAGTTGCTGGAGAGAGAGCATCCCCATAGAGAGATCAACCCCCTTGGCTCTTATAGGCCTTCCCAACCGACTTTGGCAATGGGCCTGGGCACAATGAGGCCTTTAAGCCCGTAATGGTGAGGCACAGACACAATATCGGCCTTGGTCATAACCGTGCGTCAACAAGCCCCCAAGTCCTCAATCTAAGAGTAGCTTCTTGGCTGGGGACTTTTACAAGTCCATAGAAGGGTTTTGGCCAAGCCGAGCAGTTTTTCGTGTGTTGATATCTTGCTCAAGTCGGGTTTTAGAGGTGAGTTGCGCTTCGTGCCAGGTGGCGGGTATCCATGCGGAGTGGTCGGCGTCATCCATGCAAGATGGTGGGTGGTCATGTAAGGTAGCAGCTGACCATACAAAGTGGTTGGCGTCATCCATGGTGGTCGGGTCGGCCATGCAAGGTGGTCGGCGCTCATCCACAGTGGTCGGGTCGGCCATGCAAGGTGGCGGGCGACCATGCAAGGTGGTCGGCGCTCATCCAAGGTGGTTGGGTCGACCATGTAAGGTGGCGGGCGACCATGCAAGGTGGTCGTAATTTAGTTCATGTACCGAAACCTGATAACAATATAATATCATGAGATATTATGTTATGACAGTCCCTCACATCACATATATTAAGTTTGAGATATTATACCTAGATATTTATATTTAGATACTTACGTTTAGATATTTATGCAAATAGATATCATGCAAACAGATATTATGCAAACATATATTTATGCAAATAGATATCATGCAAACAGATATTATGCAAATAGATATTTATGCAAGCAACCCATAACAGATATTTTGTTGAGATGATGATATCTTGTAATGGGTGATCTCATTCGAGAGTAGAATAGAGTGTGAGGAGGTGGCGGCTCTGGTTTCTGGAGAAACAGAGCATTGCAGAGAGCTGCCTCCTTTTCTTGTTTCATGTTTGTTTCCAAGGATGGGTGATCAGAGAGAGGCTTTGATGGCGGGGTGGATGTCGAAGCGGATGAGAGCAGCGTGACCGTTTTTCCATAGCGAGGACAAGGAGCTTGGTGGTGTTGGGGGTGTCGACAAAGACCCCGGCAACGGCCTTAACTTGGGTGCTAGGATGGTGTGGTAGCAGCGGTGGTCGGCGTTGGCGACCGAGCCGATTGCTGCTCCAATTTTTCTTCTCTTCATTGTTTTGCTTTGGTTTTTTCAATGGCCAGAGATGGTTGCTGGCTCAGTGACGACGAGAATGACATGAACTTCTATGCGGTTCCCACAGACTGCGCCAGATGTTTTACCCATAATTTTGGGATAGCCGTAATATCACAATCATACGAGTAGAACAAAGGGATTGAGTGGTTCACCCATCAACTTGGGCTACATCCACTAGTTTTTGTATTTGTATATATCTGTAGAGAGTTGCATTACATTGAGGTAGGCTTGAGAGCCTTAGTAAATAAGGAGGATGGAGCTTTAGAGAGTTGCTGGAGAGAGAGCGTCCTCATAGAGAGATCAACCCTCTTGGCTCTTATAGGCCTTCCCAACCGACTTTGGCAATGGGCATGGGCACAATGAGGCCTTTAGGCCCGTAATGGTGAGGCCCATACGCAATATCGGCTTTGGTCATAACCGTGTGTCAACAAGGTACATTAACTATTATGTATAAAATGCTACACTCAACACAAGCTTACTTAGGTAATTTGCTCAAATAGGAAATCTTACACACAATTTTAATTAGGTAATTTCTTTATTATAACTTCCCACCCATGCATTCGACCAAAGAAAAAAACTTCCCACGCGTTTCATCCATCTTGTTTTACGTTTTTGTTTCGTTTTGATACGATCCCGTTTTACGTTATTCCAGGCTCTTCTTCCAATTTTAACTTTATATTATTTTTCCTTATTTTTATATTTTATTATCCTCCGAAACAACAACTAAAGAGGATGTTGCAAGATCTTAAATTTATTTATTTATTCACTTCATGAAATTACCTTTTAACTTCCCGAGTGTGTGAGTATGTGACTAACCAGATTTAATTAGATTTTATAGAAATATATTTATCAACAAATCTAGTCAAATACGATGAAGTCATCAAAGCCTATCCGAACAAATTGACTGGGTTGGTTTGGATGAATTAGATTATTCTCATTTTTATATTTTATTATCCTTCGAAACAACAACCCCTACTATTTCATGTGGTCTCTAAAAAACTCTATAAAATCCCACCCGACTTCTCATTACTTCATAGTCCAACCCAAAGATATAGCACTGCCCTTTCCCTATGGAAACTCCGATTGATCACAGCTTGTGGGTTTTGACCCTCTTCTACAAATACCAAGTCTTTTCTTCCACGACCACTCTCTTCGTCTTTCTCATTCTGGCCACAGTTTCACTAGCTGCGGCGGTCTTCTACTGGGCCTCAACTCCCGGAGGCCCGGCATGGGGAAGGCACCATTGGAAAACAGGAAACACTCTTCGTAAACTTGTTCAAAACCATAAAAATCAACTCTCCACCACCACCCCAATTCCTGGGCCACGTGGATTTCCAATCATAGGCAGCATGAACCTCATGACCAACCTAGCACACCACAAGCTCACCAAAGCAGCTGAGCTCTTCCAAGCAAAGAGGCTCATGGCTTTCAGCTTGGGTGAGACACGTTTCGTCGTCACATGCAACCATAACATCGCCAAGGAGATCCTCAACAGTCCCGTCTTCGTCGCCCGTCCGGTGAAGGAGTCGGCTTATGGGCTCATGTTCAACAGGGCAATTGGGTTTGCTCCATACGGAAATTACTGGCGTACCCTCAGATGCATCGGCGCCGCCCACCTCTTCTCCCAGAAGCAAATCTCTGTCTCCGAGCATCAACGGTTCGAAATCGCCGAACAAATGGTTTCCATGATCTCGGCTCATGCCGAGAACAGCTTCTGCGTCCGCGACATTCTCCGATCAGCTTCGCTAAACAACATGATGTGCTCGATTTTCGAACGTGAATATGAGCTGGGCTCGTCGAACGAAGAAACAGAGGTCACGAGGCGGCTCGTGGATGAAGGCTATGACCTGTTGGCAAAGCTCAACTGGTCTGATCATCTTCCATGGCTTGCCGGTCTAGACTTTCAAAGCGTACGGTCTAGATGCTCCAAGCTCGTTCTTGAAGTCAACCGTTTCGTCGGCCGAATCATTCAAGAACACAGAGCTCAAATCGGCCGGAAGAACCATGATTTTGTGGACGTTCTTCTTTCTCTTGACGAACTTGATAAGTTGTCGGAGAGTGACATGATCTCGGTTCTTTGGGTAAGAATCTCTAAATCCAGAACTATGCAAGAAGTTTGAATACAAGTGATAGGTTAAATTACTTTAAAATTAATTTAAGAAAAGAATATTCGAGTAACGTGACAAAATCACTGTTCTAACTAACTCGCTTAACCAGGTTGCTTTCAATTTCTTTTTATTTGCAACTTTCTGTATAAGTTATTTAGTGGGTCTTTCTCAACTTTATTAATGTTTAATAACTATTGTTTTTTACGGAATATATTTGTTCCATGTGTCATACTACACTACAGGAGATGATATTCAGAGGAGCAGACAATGTGGCGGTTTTGATCGAGTGGATTTTAGCAAGGATGGTGCACCA